TGTCCTTCTGCAGGGACTGGCCCCTCCTGACAACATGCCTAAGTCCATGGCATGCAGTCTCATCATCCTGGCTTCTAAGGACCATTCTGGCTGCACTTCTTCCAAGACAGATTTGTTTGTTCTCTGGCAGTCCACGGTATACTCAATATTCTTTGCCAACACCATAATTCAGAGGCATCAATTCTTCTTTAAGTCGGCCCCGACGCATAGCAACCCCTCCTTGAGTTTCTGAGGCAGTATCACTACGGAAGTAGATTGCCCAACCTTCCTTCCGAGGCGTGGCTGGTGGGTTTGAACCGCCAGCCTTCTGGTTAGCAGTCAAGTGCCTTAGGCACTGTGCCATAAGAGCTCCTCAATTCTTCTTCAGTCTTCCTTATTCACCGTCCACCTTTCATATGCACAGGAGGTGACTGAAAATACCATGGCCTGGGTCAGGTGCAGTGTAGTCTTCAAAGTGACGTCTTTTTGACACTTTAAAGACAAGTGATGGGAGTTGGTGAGATGGCCCCTGTTCCTGGTGTGAGGCCCAGCAGTGCCGGCAGCCCCGGTTCTCGCAGGTCTCGCTCTCTCTAACAGCACTCATCCCTCTCCGTCCCTCTAGAGGAGAGGAGTCCCCTGGCTGGGGAAGACGGAGGGTGTCACCAGGGTGGACGGTAGCCTCTGTCCCTTGCTCCGGACACCCTGCGTCAAGCTGAGCCTGGCCGTGGCCTGCAGGATGAGCCAGACCACGTGACTCGATGATGGAAGATCTCTTTCATGTTATGTTCCTTTTCCAAGGAAACTGTAGGTCCCTTGAAAGCACGCACTTAGTCATCATTCCGCACACAGCTGTGCAGTGACCCCTCGGGTGTTAGGAGCTGAAGTGACTTCCCCGGGGCACCTGTCTCCTGCCCAGTCTGGGGGATGTTGAGCACACAGTCTGTCTAACGGGCTACTAAGGGTTCTGTTTGAACGATCCACTTCCAAGCTGTTCCCACGTGTAACAACTCCCCAGGAACAGACGCGGCGCATTTCCCAAATCTCGCTTCTCGCTTTTAGACCCCACTTTCTAACCAAAGACTTTCCCCGGCTCCAGTTGTGCTGTCAGTCATTCTACAGTTTATTTTGTACAGACTTAATAGAGCGACCATAAAACACCAAACTCACTGCCGTCGAGTCAGTGCCGACTTATCGACCCCCAGTGGGTTTCCGAGGCGGTCAGTCGTTACGGAAGTAGATCACCCACTCTTCCTTCTAAGGAGTGACTGGTGGGTTTGAACCACCAGCCTTCTGGTTGGCAGTCAAATGCCGTAGGCACTACGCCACCAGAGCTTCTTACAAACTTAGTATAGCAACCATACACCACCAAACCCACTACCATCCAGTTGATTGCAACGCATAGTGGCCCTGTGGGGAATAGAGCTGCCCCATAGGGCTTCCAAGGCTGGACAATTTTACAGGCTGCCTACTTTTTCTCCCACACAGCGGCTGCTGGGTCCAAACCACCAACCTTTTGGTTAGTGGCCAAATGCTTTAACCATTATACCACCAGAGCTCATTTTAGCGACCCCAGAATTTCACCAACCTTTCTTTAGGCTGGGTTCGCCAAAGGAGCAAAGCCAATGGACTGTATATGTCAATACATAGATACGTATAGCTCTTCCACCTCTCGTCTGTCAGTCTGTCACACTGTGGTGGCTTCATGTTATGATACTGGAAGCTATGCCACTGGTATTTCAAATGCCACCAGGATCACCCACGGGGGACAGGTGTATTGGTCACCTGGTGCCGCTCTGACAGAAAGACCACAGATGGGTGACTTTAAGAAACAGGAGTTTATTCTCTTACAGTTCGGGAGGCTAGAAGTCCGAGTTCCAAGTGCCAGGCTCTAGGGGCTGGGTGAAGGCCCCTCAACCTTGGGCTTCAGCTCTGCCTCTTGCTTCCAGCCCACTGAAGCTAGAGGCAAGGATCCCTTCATTCAGCTCCTGGCTGCTCAGGCTGACAAGCCCAAAGTCGACAAGTAAAAAGGCACAGTCCTGATGCTACCAAACCACACAACAGGCCATTAATTCAAGTCCATTGCAAGTCCCAAGGTCAGCAGACAACATGCCAGGCTTCTGAATGACGACTGAGCTACATGCAGGATTCAAGTGTGCCAAAAGCTGGAGACGTTCCTCAAAGTTGCTTCTTAGATACTGGTCTGGGAGCAGCCCACATCCCTAAGGCAGCTACTCAGCTGCTCCAGCAGATTCCACCATGGGATTGATGACCAGTCTCATCATGGGGAATAGTACATCCAGCTGCCCAGCCACTCAACCAGGCCCAGCCACGTTGACACACAACCTTAGCTACCACAGCAGGGTTCAGATTAAGATGGCCTGGGAAGGAGGACCTGGTGATCTTATGACACTGGCTAGTGAAAGTCTTAGGAGTAGCCGGGGACTGTTGTCTGATGAAGGGCCGGAAGAAGGCCCCCAGGTTGGAAGGCACTCACAATACACAATGTCTGCAACAGTGGCTTCAAACACAGCAGGGATGTGTGGCTGGCACAGGACTGGGCAGTGTTTCATGTCGGACATGGGGTGTCTGTGAATCAGAACCAACTTGAAGGCATTTACTACAACAACATAGATTTACTTCAAGGAAGTGGCTTACACAATTGTGGGGCCTGGAGAGTCCTGAATCCGTGGAGGCAGCAGCCTGAATGCTCCTGTTGACTCACACGGTTGCAGGGCTGACACCCCAAAATGTGCAGGTCAGGCTGCAGGCGGCTGGCTGACAGTATATACTAAGAACTGTGGTCAGAGGATGATGAGACAAACCCAACATCGAGGGAAAGCCGGCTTTGGTAGGACATCCACATATGTTGGATGCAGGCCACACCCCCAGAGAAACTCCCCTTCCACCTGATTGGCTGTTCACATTAGATCACAAACTGGAAGATGATTACATCATACCTGCCAAACCACTGAGAATCATGGCCTCGCCAAGTTGACACATGACATTAACGGTCTCAGTTTCTCACATTTTTCCCATAATTCACCATTTTGCAAAAATATCAGCCAAAGAAACAAGCATTAAACAAATATGCCCTTTATATACGTATTTTTTTTACTTTTAAAGATGTCCCTTCTATAGATGTATAACCTGTGTTTACTGACTAAGGTCTGTTCTTCTCAGCAGTAAACAAAATAGAGGCCTTGTCCAGAAGGAATGCTTTCTTTTTAAAAAACTTTTAATTGTGATTTGGGTGAAAGTTTACAGAGCAAGTTGGTTTTCCATTCAACAATTTGTACACATTTTTATTCATGACATTGATTGCAGTGCCCACAATGTAACAGATCTCTTCCCACTTCCTCCCTGTGTTTACCATTTCCCTGTGTCCTTCTCTCCTGCCCCTTACTGCCTTCCGAGTTTATCCCTGGGCAAACACTGCCCTTTGGATGTCATAGGGTTGGCTGGTGTAAGGCATGTGTGCTTCTCATGTTACTGTTCACCATATAGGCCTGTCTGTTGTTGGGATAAAAGTTAAGCCCTCGGGATGAGTTTGGTTCCAGGTTTTGAAAGGTGACTAAGGGCCATGTTCTCAAGGGTCCACCATCTCTATCCAACCAGAAAGCCTAGTTTCTGAAGGATTTCTTTCCCAGATCACATGCACAGGTTTCTGGCAAGAAACCATGGGCGCCTTAATCTTATTTGTCAACCTGATTTAGGACCTGGAAAATGTAAGAGGCCCTGATGGCACAGTGGTCAAGAGCGTGGCTGCTAACGGAGAGGTTGGTGATTTGAACTCACCACCAGCTCAGCGCAAGAAAGACCTGGCAGTCTGCTTCCACAAAGATTACAGGTTACAAGACCCTGGGGACAGTCATGTCACGTGGGATCACTGGGTCAGAATCAGCTGATAGCACAAGACAACATGGAAAAGTACCAGAGCAGATACAAGAACATAAAGACTGTGTGTTTTTTTGTTGTATTCAAATGCACACATGGCCAAAAGATGGATATACTTAAGAGAATCCACAATCTGAGGTTAAAAATAATATAAAATTTTTATGACTCAATTTGCAGTGGGCAACTTTGCGCCATGGCCTGGACCATCTATCCATTTGCTTTAACTCTAAGACAGACTCAGCTGGTCTGGACTGCCCAGCCCAGGTGGCACAGTGGTTAAAGCACTCGGCTTCCAGGCCTAACGTTAGCAGTTCAAATCCATCAGTTGCTCAGTAGGAGAAAGGTGAGGCAGTCGGCTTCCTAAATATGACAGCCTTGGAGACCCTGTGGTGCAGCTCCACTCTGTCCTCTAGGGGCGCTGTGGGCCAGAATGGACTCCACGGCAGTGGGTGTGGTTTGGGCTTTGCTTCTGTGAAGATTGACAGCCTGGGAGACCCGGTGGGGCAGTTCCACTCTGTCCTCTAGGGGCGCTGTGAGTCGGGATGGACTCCAGGGGCAACTGGTTGGCAATCTACTGTCGATCACCTTTGCTGTCATTTCGCCAGGTCTTTCTTCCTCGGAGCCTCTGGGTGCGTCCAAACGGGCAACCTTAAGGTTCCCAGCTGAGCTCCTAACCAGGGCGTCCCCACCGCTCCCAGCATTCCTCCACTGTGGGCGACTAGTACAGCACACATGGGGGCGGCCACGCCCCAGGTCCCGCAGGTCAGTGTTATCAGACAGCAGCCAAGGGCAACGGGGAGGCAGTGAAAGAGGGGGTGGGTTTACCCGGCGGCCTGTCTCCCCCACCAAGCGGGAAAAGGGGCGTGTGAAGGGCCCCGGGGGACGAGCTGCTTCCTGCAGGGTCGACCGCAGAGTGACACCCGCCTCTCCCAGCTGTCGCCAAGCCGCTCCCGCTCCCTCGCCCCGGCACGTCTATGACGTCCCCGCGGGGCCTGACGTCAGCGTGGCGCCGGGCGCAAGCGGCGCAGTCGGCCTCCGCGCGTCTTTCGCATTGACCACCGGTTCCTGCGGTCCCGTCCGGGCTGAGGTGAGCTGAGGGGCAGGCGCCGGGCGTCGCAGACTCCACGATGTGCGAAGGGCGAGGCGACAACTACGAGGGCGTGAGCACCGACCGCCTCAGACTGGAGCTTCTGGAGGAAATCCACTTGAAGTGAGTGTGAGCGCGCGAGGGCGCAGGTCCCCCCGGGCCGGTCGGCACCGCGCGTCCGGGCCGCGCCCTGCGTCCGGCCCACAGCCCGCGTCCGGCGCACACTCCACGTCTGGTCCATACCCCGTGTCCAGTATGCACCCCGAGTCCGGTCCATGGTCCGCGTCCGGTCCACACCCCGAGCCCACATTCTGAGTCCATTCCACATCCCGAATCCGGTCCTCATCCAGACTTCAATTCACACCCCAACTTCAGGGCACACCTCAGCTTCACCCCACATGAGGTCCACACACCCCAAGTCTGGTCCACACCCCGATTTCAGTCCACATCCCCCCAAGTTCGTTTCATACCCCGAGCCCAGTCTGGTTTGGTCCAAACCCTGATCCGTTCTGCACACTCAGTCTAGTCTGCACTCTGACTTCAATCTACACCCCGACTTCGGCCCACACGCGGTGTCCAGTCCACACACCGAGCCAAGCCCGCCCCCCGGAGTCTGGTGTGCACCCCGACCTCAGCCCACCTTCCACAGCCGGTCCATACCCCTGGTGTCGGGTCTGCACCCCAGTTCAGGTCCCCTCAGGGCCTTCCCCCTTCTTCTCCATGGAGCTGTGGGTGCCTGCTGTTCATGGCCGCTGCACCTGCGTTACCGCCGGGACGGAGATGGAGCGACCGCAGGAAGGGGTCTCCCTGTTCCCTCCAGTGGAGTGCGAGTCCCAGTGACCTGTGTGTCAGTAGCTGTGCCCCAGAGGGTTTGCCAAGGCTGCTGTCTGTGAGCAGGTGGCCAGGCCTTTCTGCCGGGTGTCCCTGAGTGGGCTCAGCCTCCCGCAGTTGGAGGAGCGGCCACGTTCACCCCTGGTACCACCACGGGCCTCCCTCTGATTCATTATTTAATTTGGTGTCATGACTGCAAAGGCTTGGAAGGAGGATGTTCTGCCTTTGGGACCCAGTCAGTTTCCGTCACCGTGAGGCTACAGTGTGTGCTTGGTTTTGACGGCCCACCCAGGGCAGGCTTTCTGGGTAAACTACCAAAGGTTTTGCTCAGCTCCGCTTTTCTTTCACGCCTGTAGAAGCCCTTCAGAAACAGTGGTCGTTTGTGAGAACGGGGCCCGTCCCGTCTGGTTTTTAAACACACAAGGCGGTGAACTTCTGGCTTCTCTGGGACCCCGTAACATCCTGTGTTTTCCTGTATTGTAGCTCCAGCCACTGCATCGTCCTTGCCTAGCGTTCCTGAGAACAGGCGGGTTGTGTGTGTTCCCTGGGGCTGTGCAGGGTCAGAGCTGTGTTGCTGCTGTTAGGTGCTGTCAAGTTGTCCCCAACTCAGAGTGACTCCAAGGACAACAGAAGGAAACACTGCCTGGTCCCGTGCCAGCCTCACAACCCCTGCTGTGCTGAGCCCATCGTTGCAGCCACTGTGTCAGTCCGTCCTGTTGAGGGCCTTCCCCTATGCGGCTGACCTTCTACTTCACCAAGTATGACGGCCTTCTCCAAGGCCTGGGCCCTTCATATGACCAAAGCATGTGAGGTGAAATCTCCCCATCCTCACTCTAAGGAGCATTCCGGCGGCACTTCTTCCAGGACAGATGTGTTTGTACTTCTGGCCGTCCATGGTATAGCCAGTATTGTTCACCAACACTGTAACTCAGAGACTTCAGTTCTTTTCAGGTCTTCCTTGCTCCTTTTCCAGAGTGTGCATGTATATGAGGCGATTGAAAACACCATGTCTTGGGGCAGGCGCACCTTCGTCCTCCAAGTGATGTCTCTGCTCCTTACCACTTTTGGGAGGTCTTTTGCAGCAGACTGGGCAATGCGGTACATCATTTGTTTTCTTGACTGCTGCTTCCATGGGCGCAGATTGTGGATCCAAGTAAAGTGAAATCCTTGACAGCATCAGTAATTTCTCCGTTTATTATGCTGTTGCTTATTGGTCCGGTTGTGAGGACTTTTGTTTTCTTTATGTTGAGGTGTGAGCCATACTGAAGGCTGGAGTCTTTGATCTTCATCAATAAGTGCTTCAAGTCATGTTCACTTTCAGCAAGTAAGCTTGTGATGTCTTTGTATTGCAGACTGTTAATGAGTCTTCCTCCAATCCTGATGCCATGTTTTCTTCATGTGGTCCAGTTTCTCAGATGGTTTGCTCAACATATAGATTGAATAAGTGTGGGGAAAGGATACAATTCTGCAGCATACTTTTTTTTTTTTTTTTTTAATTGTGATTTGGGTGAAAGTTAACAGAGCAAATTCGTCTTCCATACAGCAGGTCATGTATACTTTGTCTCATGACATGAACTGCAGTTTCCCACAATGCAACAGCTCCCCTCTCACTTCCTCCCCGTAGCCACCTCTTCCCTGTCTCCTTCCCTCCCATGCATTCCTGCCCCCCGAGCTGTCTCCGTGTGCATACACAGCCCATCTATCCTGGCACACACCTTTCTTGATTTTAAACCATGTAGTATCCCCTTGTTCTGTTCAAACAACAGCCTTCTGGTCTATGTACAAGTTCCTCATGAGTGCAATTAAATGTTCTGGAATTCCCATTTTTCCCAATATTATACATAGTTATGATCCACACAGTTGAACACCTTTGCATAGTTAATAAAACACAAGTAAACATCGTTCTGGTATTCTTTGCTTTCGGCCAAGGTACATCTGACATTAGCAATGATATCTCTTGTTCCATGTCCTCTTGTGAATCCAGCTTGCATTTCTAGAAGTTCCCTGTCAATATACTGCTGCAACCATCTTTGAATTAACTTCAGCAAGATTTTACTTGCGTGTGACATTAATGACACCGCTATCAACAATATCAAATTCCACATTCTGTGGGCTCACCTTTCTTTGGAATGGGGCACAAGTCTGATCTCTTCCAGTCGGCTGGACAGGTAGCTGCCTTCCAGATTTCTTGGCATAAGTGAGTGAGTGCTTGCAGCACTGCGTCTGTTTGTTGAAACACTGCAGTTAGTATTCTGTCACTTCCTGGAGCCTTGTTCTTTGCCAGATGCTTCAGTGCAGCCAGGACTTCCTCCTTCAGAATGATCAGTTCTTGATCATATGCCACCTCTGGAAGCAGCTGGACGTCGACTACTTTTTTGGCACAGTGCTGTGTATTCCTTCCGTGTTCTTTGATGCTTCCTACGTTATAAAGATACAGCCTTGGACACCCTCTGGTGCAGTTGTGTCCTGTCCTGTGGGGGCGCAGTGAGTCAGAATCCACTCCAGCACACAGCAGCAGCTTTGCTGGGGGGTGAGAAACCAGGTCTCCACGGTCCTGGAGGTCATGGTGAAGGTAGAGTGAACCCTGTGCAGTGGCACCTGGGGGCGTCTTCCTCTCCTGTGATACTGGGTGCTTACTGGGACCGGGACCCCCGGCACTGGGATCGTGAGCCCGCCTTTGCCCACTTCTTGATCCCCAAACGTACCTCCCACACGTGGCACGTGTGAAGTGGGAGAGATGGTTACTGTATGTGTCTCCTTGCATATTTTGACTGCAATCGTAACTAACAGGGAGCATCTTTAATGGCAGGGATATCGTGCAGCTCTCCATGCTTGAAGTGAAGCACAAGATAACGGAACTGGAGGCCAGACTCTGTGCCGACAGTGAAGGTACGTGTGTGAGTCACAGGTGTGACGGTGCTGGGGGCCAGACTCCGTGCTGACAGTGAGGGTATGTGTGCGAGTCCCAGACGTGATGGAACAATTGTGAGGGTACGTGTGCGAGTCACAGATGTGATGGAACGATGGTGAGTGTCCGTGCGTGAGTCACAGAGATGACGGAGCTGGAGGCCAGACTCCTTGCCGACGGCGAAGGTACGTGTGTGAGTCACAGATGTGATGGAACGATGGTGGAGGTACGTTTGTGAGTCACAGACGTGACGGAACGACGGTGAAGGTCCGTGTGTGAGTCACAGGCATGTGTGTCGTGTGGGCCGTGTCCATGTGCTGAGCCACCCGCAGTTCAGGAGAGCGCGTGCCGCTGAGCAGTGGTGCTGAGGGTTCCTTACTGCTCTCTGGGACCATTAACGATGACTTCCAGCTGCTTTGAAACGGCCATTTCCAAACGTCAAGCCTGCTTCTCTGTAACTGCTCCTGTCTTCCGTGTTCGAGGCATCCACACTCAGCAAAGCTTTGTTACCCAGCAGCCGCGTGTTCCTTCCTTCCTACAGAATCAGGGGTCCCACGGTGTCTGTGACACCGCATCTGCACTCAGAGCTTCACCTGTGGGTTTGGAGTTTTGGCTGTTTGTATGGGAAGAATGTTTGTGGGAGGTTGAATACACACCACATTCATGCACACACATGCATGTGCACATGCACACACGCACCTCTGTCTTTTAAAATCTGTGACTAATGGAGAATGACAGTTGACACCATAAATAGGAGGTGGCCCTGCTGGGGGTAGGGAGTCTGGCCAAAGGGGTGGCCCGCAGCCAAGATGAGGATGTCAGGAAGGGGCATGGCACAGAGCTGGAGAGAAGGAGTCAGGATGGGGGGCACGCCACACAGCCGGAGTGGGGCCTCAGGACAGGGTGACGGCTCACAGCTGGGGTCTGGGCATTAGGATGGTGACAGCACACAGCTGGAATGAAGGCATCAGGACAGGGGAGGGATTGACGGCACATGCCTGGGATGAGGGCATCAGGACGGGGACGGCTCACAGCCGGGGTGAGGGGGAGCAGGACAGGGAGACGGCTCACGGCTGGGGGGAGGGCGTCAGGACAGGGAGACGGCTCACGGCTGGGGGGAGGGTGTATGGGGGGCACGACGCGACCCACCTGGGGTGAGGGCGTCAGGACGAGGGGACGACCCAGCTCGGGTGAGGGCATCAGAGCAGCTTCCTTGGGATCAACATCTGAGCCAAGTGCTGCAGGACAGGCTGCGTTCAGGGGTTGTGATGTGGACTCTGAGCCCACTTCCTCTATACCTTTTTCTTCCTGTCTTAGGGGAGCCGTGAACACAAGCAGTCACAGTGATAGGAGAGGTCACATGCTTCTGTTTGTACGCAGCCAGTGGGCTGTTATGGCCCCTGCTTTGTCCCAGTGCTCACATCACTTCCTGTGTCTCCCTGTCCATCCTGGAGCAGAATGAGTACACGGACCAGGTGGTTGCCCTGGCAGAACAGTCTGGAACTTCCTTGTCTGCCTCATGACTGACAAAACAGAGGGTGTGCTCACAGATACATGTAGGCTAACTGCAGCGGCTGTGCTCACACGTGAAACAGCCCAGCAAATCATGTTATCAACAGCTCTGCGCGAGACTGAGCTAACATGGAGGTAAAAGAGGGCGTGCCAGGGTGGGAGAAAGTTCTCTGCTTAAGGGGCCATGATGGAAGCCCAAAGCAAGGACGACTCAGGTCCCCCTGGCTCACTGTGAACCAGGGTCAGGCACTGTCCCGTGACAGGTTATTATCATCCATCACTACCGAAAAGTGAGATGCAGGGGTTTAAATGGCTTGTCAACGTCCTGTCCCAGGGCCAACGTCACGTCCCAGGGTCTGGTGGCACTAAGACCACTGTGTGTGCTGTCACCTCAATTCAGACTCGGCGACAGCCCCACTGGGTCTCCAAGGCTGTCAGTCTTCACAGAAGCAAAGCCCAAACCACACCCACTGCCATAGAGTCCATTCTGACCCACAGCGCCCCTAGAGGACAGAGTGGAACTGCACCACAGGGTCTCCAAGGCTGTCAGTCTTCACAGAAGCAAAGCCCAAACCACACCCACTGCCATGGAGTCCATTCTGACCCACAGCGCCCCTAGAGGACAGAGTGGAACTGCACCACAGGGTCTCCAAGGCTGTCAGTCTTCACAGAAGCAAAGCCCAAACCACACCCACTGCCGTGGAGTCCATTCTGACCCACAGCGTCCCTAGAGGACAGAGTGGAAGTGCACCACAGGGTCTCCAGGGCTGTCAGTCTTTATAGGAACGTAGTGCTACGTCTTCCTCCCGTGGAACAGCTCATGGGTTTAAACCTCCAAGCTCAGTTAAGAGTTTTCATTAAAACTGAGGAGGAACCAGTAGAACAGAGTGGAACACAGCTATGCTTAATGCCTGTCCAGACATCTGATGCATATTTGTCCGTGGTCCCATAAGGATTACTTTTTTAATGGAAAGCCAGCTCTTGTTTTGTTTATTATTTCCCCCTTGTGGTTTTAAAGACCCCAAACCCACTGGACCATGGTGGGATAGAGGCAGGTGAGCAGAGGACATGGCTCCGGGTGTGGGCTCTCGGGCTGCGTGGCAGACAGGCAACGGGGAGTGCAGGGTCCGGGCTGTTCCTGCTGCTCAGGCAGGGGCACAGCAGGCCGGGCCGGGCACGCTCCTGTGTTCCCTCCCGACTCGTTCCTTTCACTTCACTCCCATCCCCGGGCTCTCGGCTGCTGCTCTCCTGGTGCCCATGCCTCCACCCTCCATCACCGGCTCCAGCAGCAGCAGTGGTGAGGAGGAGGACTGGAAGCCAGCTCCCATGAGCTTCCAATGTGATGTTCACACAGCGTCTAAATTACGTCATGCCATTTCACAGAACACAGTGTGGACATGAGGAACACATAGCTGTACAAACAAGTTGTAGCTCATGGAAACCGTGTTGTGATGTAGTGGGGCCTGTGGGAATCGAATCCTGGGCAGTTCAGGGCGAGGTCACTGGTAAATAATTAAGCCAGTCTTTTTAGCTGTTTCTTTAGTTACCTGTGAAAATAAAACAGAAGAGGAGAGGGAGACCTATTTCATTTATGAGACTTAACAAGGAGTAGATGCTAGAAGTCACTTACCCCACACACTGCAACGGGAGAGCGTTAGACAATGGCAGGGCAGCTGCTCTCGTCCCCCCAGCCCTAGGCAGCTTCAGCTTGACTGCTCCCCACGGGGACAGGCAGCCGGCCCCGAGCAGCCGGTCACTGAGGCCTTTCCGTGGGCTTCGTGTCATCAGGAGTGAAAAGAAGAGTGACGAGTTACTTAGTGAGTCCTGTTTTAAAAATGGGTGTAACATTTAGAAAAAAAAGAATCATTTCATTCCTCGCTTGGTACCTGTGATAGTTGGAGCTGTGTGTTAACTTGGCTGGACCACAATTCTGTGTGGTTTAAGCTGTTGTGATGATGTTATTCCCATGATGGGATCAGATGATTTCGTTTTGAGTGGTCAGTCTGTTGAAAGGGAATTTCCCTAGGGGTGTGGCCTGCTTCCAGCATAACTATGGACATCTTGGGAAAAGAGACACTCTTCTGTGGATCGGGATTCTGTTGTGCTGCCTACAACTGTCCATGAGCATAAACCACCATTCGGCGTGGAGATCTGGGATTCATCATTTTTTGGAGTCAACAGCTGGTGTACTGCCTGCCAGCCTTGAGCTCCTCATCCCCTGCGGCTGCAAGAGTCGGGAACAGACTCCAGCTGGAGGTGGAAAAGCCTCCAGCTTGACGTTTGATCCAGGAACTTTAGACTCACAGCTTCTATAAGTGTGTGAGCCATTTTCCTAAGATAAATTTCTCTCTAATACATATATATAAGCTTTACTGGTTTTGTTTCTCTAGAGAACCCAGTCTAACTACCTAAGGTTATGTTGTTGTTGTTGTTATGTGCCGTCGAGTCAGACCCAACTCATAGCGACGACTCCTTGGGTTTCTGAGGCAGTATCACTACAGAAGTAGATTGTCCCATCTTCCTTCCGAGGAGTGGCTGATGGGTTTGAACTGCCAGCCTTCTGGTTAGTAGTCAAGTGCCTTAGGCACTACGCCACCAGAGCTCCTAAGGTTGTAGAGTTAAATATTTAAAGTTATGAAGAGAGCTGGAGATGAACACAGCTACTTCTGGGAAAGAAGGCCTGCCCCAGTGTAAGAGGGAAGAGAGCCTTCAGGAGATAGGCTGCAGCTTTGACTTCAGAAAAAGTCGCTCCCCTCTGTTTGAGGGGACAAATGACCCATGTGGGAAGTCAGAGGGCAGTGTGGGGGTGAAGAGGATGCACCACAGGAAGTGCTGTCCTTACCCACCGTCTCCTGCAGTGCAGGTGGGAAACCTCCGGTTCCCGAGAGATGCAAGTGAGCAGGACGTGGAGAAACCCCTCGTGAGGCGGGAGGGTCTCTGGCGTCTCTTGGAGCAGAGGAGCCTGAGCCGAGGAATGATGCAGGTTGTCATGTGCCGGAGCAGTGCAGCTTTGTAAGTGGGGACACAGGCACTTTTATGCATCAGGTGGAAGGTTAGCTCAGTGTCATTCTTGTGGAAAGCAGTGTAGGGCCTCGGTCCTCGTGATGAAGATGTGCACGACCACAGCAGCTGACTCCAGGTGGCGCTGTCTTTGTGCCCATGATGATGATGATGAACGTGACAACAGCTGACACCGGGTGGCACTGTCCGTGTGCTTGTGACGTTGATGATGAATATGACAACAGCTGACACCTGGTGGCACTCACTGTCCATGTGGCCATAATGACAACGATGGTCGTGATAGCAGTTAACACTGGGTGGCGCTGTCTGTGTGCCCATGGTGATGAACATGACAGCAGCTGACACTGGGTGACACCACCTGTGACAATGGTAAACGTGACTACAGCCGCTGACACCAAGTGGCGCTGTCTGTGAGCATATGGTAACAATGATGACCGTGACAGCAGTT